GGGGGGGTTCGAACCGGTAGTGACCCCCCCCGGTTTTCGAGTTCGAGGGGGGGGGGGGAGGGGGAGGGTTTAGGGGAGGGGGAGGGTTTGCCGGGGCAAAGGGGGGGGGGTCCAGCAGGGGGGGGGGATTTTCGGAGGGGGGGGGGGGAACCCCGGGTTCCGGAGGAAAAGGGCGGCAATTTTCCACAGTAAAGCGGCGGTGGATCACGCTCTCTCCTATATTTGGGGACGTGCCCCCTCGCCAAGAGAGGATATCCCCCAAGATCGGGGCCCCAAATCGAGCTTGTTCAGGCGTAGTGGTATTGGTAATCTTCCCCCTCTCGACCCTGTCAGCCAGCCATCGGCAGGGCGTTGCAAATCGCTGGTCTTTTTCTATGCGTCCGTGAGGGGCTTTGCTACGCGTCCCTGAGTTGCCGCCGCTATACTCACATCAGCTGCGGAGTACGAAGATGATGACCGTGACGACGACGATGGCGACGATGACTATGATGATGGAGTTGGTGATGGCGGCGATGATGTTGGCGATGATTATGACGATGGCGATGACGAACATTATGATGCTGTTGATGATGATGAGAGGAGGAGGAGGAGGAGGAGGATGATGGTGGTGGTGGTGGTGGTGTTGACGATGATGATTATAACGATCTTACTGATGGTGGTGGTTATGATGACGACCGTTATGATGTCGTCGGTGATGTTACTGCTGCTGATGATGATGGTGATGATGATGATGATGATGATGATGATGATGATGATGATGATGATGATGAGGATGAGGATGAGGATCAGGATGATGCTGCTGATGATGATGCTGATGATGAGGGTGCTGCCGATTATGATGCTGCTGCTGCTGCTGATGATGATGATGATGATGATGATGATGATGATGATGATGATGATGATGATGATGATGATGATGATGATGATGATGATGATGATGGCGACGATGCTGGCGGTGTTGATGATATCGGCGACGACGACGACGACAACGACGAGAGTGTGGATTAATTTCGCAGAGCACGCGCGCCACGGCGCCCGCGTCGGGCCGCGGCCATACATTTCTGCAAGGTGCACGCTGTAGACCAAGGGAGGGGCAGAAAGATCTGGAGGAAGGGGTTGGTAAGAGGGAGGAGGCAGGAGGTAGGAGGGGAGGTGGTAGGGAGGTAGAGGATGTAGAGGCAGAAGGTAGGAGGAGGGTGGCAGAGGAAGCGAGCAGGAGAAAGAGGAGGAGGAGGAGGAGAGGGAGGGGGAGGAGGAGGGGGAGGAGGGAGGAGGGGAGGAGGAGGAGGAGGAGGAGCGAGGAGCGAGGAGCGATGAGGCAGGAGGAGGAGGAGGACGAGGCAGGACGAGGCAGGAGGCAGGAGGGGCGAGGAGCGAAGAGGCAGGAGGGGGGAGGAAGCAGGAGGGGACAGGCAGGGGAGGAGGGGAAGGAGGAGGACGAGAAAGCAGACCTTCTGCCGCCCGCACGGCGGCCTAGTTCATCTGCTCCCCTTCCCCCCTTCCGGAACATCGCAGCAACAGGAGAGAATAGAGGAGGAGGAGGAGGAGGAGGAGGAGGAGGAGGAGGAGGAGGAGGAGGAGGAGGAGGAGGAGCATGCGGCTGAGACAGGGGGAGGAGGATGAGCAGGAGGAGAGCGAGGAGTAGAGGCAGAAGAGGAGGAGAAGGAGGAGGGTGAGGAGGAGGAGGCGGAGGAGGAAAAAGAGGAGGAGAGGAGCGACGGCGAGAAGAGAGGAGGGGGAAAAGGGAGCGGGCCCGACCGGTCGGGGGTGCCCGTGCGCTCAATGGCCGAGGCCCGCTCCAAGGGGGGGATGCATTGGGTGGTGGGGCTTTAGCGCGCGCTAGTGACGAGGTGCCGGGAAGGGGCGGAGGGCGTGTGGGCCACGTGCTCCCAACGGTCGGCCTGCGAGCCTGTCCGCCAGCTTGCCAACGGCGGGGCCACGGGTGAGGCGATCGAAGAAGGAAACAGCGAGCCTCTGTGGCCCTCCATGGGCCCCAGGACCGTCAGGAAACGACTCAGGACGAAGAGCTGGTCTTGCAGAAAGGCCCTGGGATCCAGTACCCGTTTGCTTCATATCAGCCCTGTCGGCGCCTCCACCGCCGCCCCTGGCGCGATCCGCGCGCCAGGGAGGGGGTCTCAGCGCCGACCCAAGAGATCCGCGCGGACCTCGGAGATTTTGGTCATTTTTCGTTTGTTGTCGCAAGCCTGGCTGAGCGCGTCATGTAGCTGTTTGTTTGAGGTAATCTAAGACGCCTGCGGCGAATCACCGCCGCCCCCTGCCTTTGTGGAAGCGCCTATGTGGCCGACAGCTGGGCTAGAGCCTGGCCAAGCTAGCGGGCCAGTTGTTCCCCGAGTCGGTTTAGCGAGCCTTCGGGGAACGCGTGGGGAGCAAGAGGTTTGAAATCGCTCATGTGTCCGAGCGCTTTGGCAAGAGCTCTGCCAAGCTGTCGGACCATGTGTTCCCCCAACCGTTGTGGAAACCCTTCGGGGAACACATCTGG